CTGGAAGGGTACATCTTTGCTGTGTTCCCCAGGTAGCCAGAGAAGTCCTCCAGCATAGAAAAGAGGTGCGTTTGAAAGTAAAAAGCATGCAGAAAAGAAAATACACCTTTTCTTTCTGCCATACTGCTTAGACCCCCATGTGCCACAGGGCACCTGCAAGCATTTTGTTCCCTAAACTGAGACTGTCCTTAGTACTTAAAAGGGTCTATTTATCCTGACCAGCTCCAAGGAGGGGATATGTTATGACAAAGGCACCAAGCCTTTCCAATGCTGCAAAATGCACTTAGAGCAAGCAATCTGTAGGTGATAAATGGAGATATTTCATGTGGTGCCTTCTGTGAACAGGGCTCTGCATGCAGCCTGTGGCTTGCACGGATTTAGGATTGTCACTAGCAGGGTCACAAATTGCTGCTATACGATGGCCGAGTGGGAATGGGAGGAGAAGCTGGCACTGGGGCTGTGCTGGCGAAGGCTGGCACCAGGGACAAGTGCCCTGCCAGGGCTGCAGGGTGCCAAATCCATCTGGAGCGAGCCGGGAGAAAGAGCTCAAAGGTGCCTGGCTGTTCAGAGGGGAGCTGGAGAGCCAGGGCATGGTTTTCTACCTGCCACAAGAGCAGTGTGAGCAACATCTGCCCCAGGAAAAACACATCTGGCTCTCAGGAAAGCCCCTCAAACCGCTGAGCATCCCCTTCCCCAGGTGGGCAATGCCAAAGACTCCTGCCAGGGCCAGACTCGTGGCCCATTCTGGCAGCTCCAGACTCTGCTTTGTTTCTGCTTTTTCTTCCAACAGGAAAATTGCCTAAATTAACATTGAGACTGTAGGTACAATACAGCTAATTCCCGTGAAGCATCTCAGTAAGGTAATTTTCTCCAAGTGCTCCCCCAATTAGCAGCTGGTTAGCAAATAAATAATTTCCAGAGGAGAACTGCACAAACTGAACTCTGACAGCATTGAAAAGACTAACAGGACCGGGCAGCAATTTCTGTGCAATTAGTAATTAAAGCCACAGAGGCTCATGACAGTCAGAGTCGGAGCTACTAAAAACCTGGCTGAAAAATTCACAAGTGATGTGCTAGGGAACATGTCCCTCCATGGCTCTGCACAGCTTTTGAGGAAAAGCTCACAAAACAATGCAGCAACCTAATAAAAATCTGCATTAAAAGGAAAAACTGGCAGTTGTCAACCCAAGTCCCAGGCTTCCTGCTCTTTTTTTGCCTCTTTCTGCATTCCCTCGGGGCAGATTTCATGCTCCCCATGGCTCTGCTGAAGGCAGAGGGGTGGTTCTGGTGCCTGCTTGCTCTGCTGAAGCCAGGCATTTCTTAGCAAAGGCGAAATAATAGGTTGGCTTTTTTTTTTTTTTCCAAAGTCAGGAACTCCATTTAGTGCTTAAGCCTGTTGTTATGGTTTGTGTTATTCTTGGCACGCTGACCGAAGTGCGCTCGGTATGAATAGCAGAGAGCTGAAAAGTAAATATTGTATCCTCTGGGAGCAGCAGAGAGGGGAGGGTGGTTATATTGCTTAATGGAGCACCCCCAGCGCCTGTTTGGGTTAGGCTTACAGTAATTGCTCCCTAGGTGAGTTTATACCAACAATTGATCGTTTCAAATGGGAAAGAAGTACAAATGAGTAAAAGAATAAACACTGACAGCATTACGAAACACAGGAGAGGGGAGCAAAAATTCCATGCAGCTCAAGCACAGGGCTGAAAGCAAAGCTGGCCAGAAAATAGGGGATACTGTTTGCTCTATGTGCAATTTCTCACGAATGCTGAACAATACAAGAAAACAAATGGAATTTTCTCCTTAAGCTCAAGCTACAGAACTACTTTCCACAGCCTAATCTTCTACAAAGAGTTCAAGGAGACCTCTCTGCTCTCCCACTTCCTTCTCCATCCTGGAAAAACACAGGGCGCTCAGCACAAGCAGCACTTTGCTGTGAGCAAGCGGGTGAGAAGACAAGGAGCGGGAAGCCCACACTTGTGACGGAGAAGCTCTGGGCTGAGTAACCTTGGTGTAAAACCCGTCATCCCCTTTCATGGACCCTGGCCAGGGCCACTGCAGCTCTCCCATGGGGGCAATGCCCACAGCCCATGGGGCACGGCCCCATCCCCTGCAGCCAGCCCATGCTGGCAGGGCCGGTCCCCTGCTCCCCACAGCTGTGTCCCCCCCCATCGCCATGTGTCACAGCAGTGCGTCCCCACCTGCCGCTCGCCCAGGGCTGCCTTTCACCTGCCGTGTCTCCAGAGGGGCCCCATTCAACCCAAAACCGGGCTCTGGAGTCTGCAGGACCCCTCTGCCAGGCAGGGAACCAGCGCTGGCCCGAGGACATGGCGCCAGCTCCCGGGGACCAGGAGCTGCCCCTCAGCCCCAGAGCTGCTGCCGCAGGGTCACCGCGACAAACCCCGGTGCCCAGTGGCAAACCGGTGCTGCTTAATGCTTTCCGAGCATCTTTGACCATGCTTGTGCTGGCAGTTGCTAGTGCTGGTTGCAGTGGTCCCAGGGCAGCACCACAGGGACCAGGAGGGAATGCTCGGGTCTGACCTGGGGACCGGGAGGGGATGCTCAGGTTTGGCCTCGTGCGCCTGGAGCGGCGTCTGCCCAAGGCTGGGCTGCGTAGCAGGAGGGCGTCAGAGGGCGAGGAGGGATGGGGATGGAAAGTCCCCATTCTACCAGGAATTACCACCGAAGGAAGGGCATGGGATGGCCCAGCCGATGGCCCAGCGCAGGGACTGGCTGCGGGGGGTGAAGGCTTCCCGGGCAGGCGGTGCCCACAGGGATGCTGCCATCCTGGCCAAGCACAGCAAGCTCTGCTTCTGCCCCGAAGCGGACCCAGCGGCAGCACCCTTCGAAAAGGCTGAGCCGGCCCCAGGCTACCACAGCAGCTTCTGCAGCTGAGCTCGTTAGTGCCTGCACTCAGCAGGGCATGAAGGGGAGATAATTACACAGGCAGCACGGCCCCGGCTGCGTGCAGGGTCTATATATAGCACCGTGCGGGTCTGCGCTGCCTGCGGTGCTTAGTCACGGCCCTGGGGACCGTCTGGGTCGGGATGGGGCAGGCACTGCTTTGCGGGAGCTGTGCCACTGGCCCGTCTGTGGTGCCTGGGGAAAACCACCCCAAGTTGAATTAAATGTTTCACTTACTACATTTTTCCCAGCTGAAAAAAATGCAGTGAGTTTCCCCGTGAACTGCCATTTTGAACAAAAGAAAAAAGAATGGAATTTTTTTTTTTGGAAAATACCTAAGCAAAAGGTTTCAGCCTGGGGCCAGGGTGGCCACATGAAGGTGTATGCCCCTCACAGCCCTCAGGACCCCACAGAGAGGGAAAGGTGGTCCCAACCGTGCGGAGAACATCCCCTGGCCGCAGGTGGAGGGTGCCCAGCGCCTGGCCCGGCTCCAGGGGTGGCTGCGGGGCAGGGGAGCACCCAGTCCCACGCAGCCCTGGCTCCCAAAGCCACCAGCCTCGGTGTCACCCTGTGGCAATGCCATCCCAAACCCATCACAGTGCTTTCGGGCCAGCGCCGACACCCAGAGCCACCCCAGAGCTGCTCAGCCCCGGGAAAAAGCCACGTTTGCTCATTGCCCCACCGCTCCCCAGGGCAGGTGACGTGAGCCCCCAAGGCCGGTGACATGAGCCGCCTGGCCTGTATTTCCAGCGGGGCCATTGCCAAGCCGATGGCAAGGTCCTGCCCTGGCACGCAAGGCCTGGTGTGTGTCACCGGTGCCACCGGCGTACCCTGACTGGCGAGCGCAGGGCTGAGTCCTCGCAGCAGCATCCTGGGCACGGCAGGGGCTGCGCACGTGGGGCAGCCCCAGGAGCTCCTCGGGGCAATCGCAGGGGCCTCGGGACATGCCACGGTGGTGACGAAGCGCCGATGCCAACCACGGGACCGTGACACCGCACCAGGAAGCCCTGCCATCTCTCTGTTTTTCCCAGCAAGCCCTGGAAAGCAGTGTGGCAATGCCAGGGCAGGGGCGAGGTGGATGGCAAATGAGAGCGGGCACCAACCCAGCAGTCTCCCTCTGGAGTCCCTGCGAGGGGACGTGCTCTCCGGGCACGGCAGTAGCTCTGGCCGTCCGAGCCGCTGCGAACCCTCCTCATCCTTAGGGTGCATCATTGTGGCGTGTTGCCCGCCCCGAATCCTGCCCCACTGCAGCCTCCAGCTCCCTGGCTGATTGCACAGTGAGGCCTCATCACCTTGGTTCTGGGTGAAAATGTGAGTCTAACACAGCAGGCTACTGCTTCTTTCACTCACCTTTAATCACCTCTTCGCTGTTCCTTCCCTGGGGATGTGAAAATACTTAAAGTCGAGCTTTTATGCTATTTGGAAATGGATCGGTTCAGCAAATTAAAGAGGGTAGGGTTAGGGCTGCAGCCTGCATTGCAGCCTGCTGTTCCCTTTGCATCAGTTAGAGGGAGGAGAGCCTCTCCCTCAGTGAAGATCAGTGTTCATTCATGGACACAGGGCAAGGAGCCCAGGAAACTCCTGCCACACACTGCATGTGCTGTTATTAGGTTAAGTCATAATTAGGTCCCCATCCCTCTCTCTTGCACATGCACGTCACACAGCGGCACACGCTGGCTCGGTGTAAAAAAAGCAGGCTGAAAGTGGGTTAATGCGCTTGTGCATCTCCTCTGACAGAGACCTGCACAGGAGCTTGCACCTGCCAGCCAGGCCAGACGAGTCAGGATTTTTTAGGGAGCAGAGTGCTCACGTCTGAAGGCCGCTCATTCACAGCACAGGCAGTTCCCCGCTCCTTCCAAACCAAGCCCAGCTATGGTGATGATGATCTTTTTTTAAAATCCAGTTTGTGCACTGGCCTGTTTATTTGGATCGCTTGCTCAGGACAGACGTGGGATAATCACAGTGATAAGCTATGTGGGGCACCACATTCAACTGCCCAACAGATATACATCAACTACCTTTTAATCATGATAAGAAGAGCATGAAACCTCCTATTGCACAGGACTTCAGTTGTGCCGCAGAAAAACAGCCGAGTGTGTTTCACATCTGCAGCTTTATTCTCGTACAAAAGGTTAAAGGCAAAGCTAGAAAAACGAACCTATTGGTACACGCTCACCGAACACTTCCAAGACAAGATAGGGCAGTAAAACTTTTGTTGCTAAGAAGAACCAACAGAAGGCTTTAAAGCACATCTAGCATTCAATTTTTGTTTGTAAGTAACCCAATTTAAAGCAGCTTTTCAGTCTTTAAAACCCTCTCACCTTTCTGGAATGCTTCAAAAGGATGACCTGAGGACAGCATCTGCTCTCCAGAGGGACCAGACGGACGGTCTGCGTGAGTTGCAGAAATGGGCCACCAAGGAGTGCCAAAATGAAACCCAACTGCCCGGCTGTGGACTCCTGCCGATCATTAGACAAGGCAAGGCTGCACAGCACCCAGGGAGCAGCACCCTGCCATGTGCAAAAGCAGCGGTCACCTGATGGCCCCTTGGCTGTCCCCATGTCCCAGTGGCTGTGGCACAGACAGGTACCACGGACTTGCCCCAAGCAGAGCCAGGAGCTGAGCCCAGGCATGGTGACCGTGGATGTCCTGCTCCAACTACCGGACTGCACTTCCTCCTGGAGGGGTGAGGCTACAGGCAATGGGATACTGAACGCCCCTGGGATCCCTAGGGATCCGCCTGGGATACAAAGGATCAGGGCTGGCCACCCTTCCTGAGGGACTGCTGGTGCAGCCACTATGGCTTTGCAGGGCTTGCTGCAGTCAGAGCTGCTCCCGGGGGCGACGGGTGCCCTAGTCTTCAGGGATCGGGGTGTTGCAGTTCCCGTGGTAAATTTTGACCTCACCCTCGCACTGGAAGTACTGGTCGAACACGTCGCTGTATCCATGGTCCCTCCACCACGTGCAAAGCTGCCGGTTCCATGTGCAGTCAAGCACATGGAAGAGCTCTGGGTGCTCCATCCCCACCATGGTGAAGAAATCCTGGTCCCCGAGGTGGCCCTTGAAGTGGTACTTCTCTGTCAGCTTCTGCACCACGGTGGGCTCCAGCAGCTGGTTGTAGAGCTTGGACTGCCTCATGGCTTCCAGGTTCAGGAGCAGGACGCCACTGTTGAAGCCGGGCAGCCCATCAGGAGGGGGGTCCCCCACTTTGGTTTGGGGGTTCTCGCGGCGATACTGCCAGAACGTGTGCCTGCAAAGAGAGGAAAAACAGGAACAGGGGAGTCAGGGAGTGCAGCCCGAAGAGCAGCCACCTCAAGTCTGGGCAGGTCTGGATGACAGCCCAGGATCTACCACCCACCCAAAGGATCTCGCAGTGCTTGTCTTCTGCTGGCTGGAAGCACCCAGCCTCCCAGAGCGGCCCAGTGCTTCTCGGGTTGCGTCTCTCTCCATCCCCCTGCAGAGGATATTGGCCAGACCTCAAACCACTCTTCTTGCTCTTTCCTAAAGCCTCTTTTGTTTCTACCAGCCATCGCTCTGGTGATCCAGCTGGACACAGGATCGCATGACTGCTCACACAGCTGTGTGGGGAGACAAAACCACATCCCCAGTGCCTAGGGCGAACCACCAGAAGTGCCCCTACGGCTGGTACACACCAGGAAAATGTCCTGCAGTTAACGCGATCTCAGCAGCAGAGCTCGTAGCATCATTATTATTATTACTTGATTATGGGGAAGCTCTGGATCAAAGATGGGCCCCAGTTTGAGCTTATGCAAAAAGAAGGCTTGGAATAAATCTGAGTGACAGAAATATTTCTTCAAAGTAAAAATAAAGAAAGAAATCCAATGGCAACATCTCATTAGCTAAACAAGCACTGCCTTCAGCATTTGCAGCCTAGGAAGGCTCAGCTGTAGCAGCTCTGGCAGACGCAATCTTCACCAGCTAATTTCCAGCTGCCAAGGAGAAGAGAGCAGTGCAAGTCTAACAATACACAAAACTAACTCCAGAGGATGATTTAAATGGGAAAAATTTCGACTACCTAAACAAGCAGCCCAAAAATGTCTTTGGCTCCTTCCTCAGCCCTGGGGCAGTGAGCACACCCCACCATACACACACTGGTTGCTCCCACCTGCAGGAATTGAATTCATCCCATGCTATTACCCAAGTAGCTGGGGTTGATTCTGTCCCAGAAAATTGCTCCCATTCAGACTGAAAGTCTTCTGCCCCCAAGCAGCATCCTCTGCTGCAAAGCCAGGCAGCTGAGAGCTGGCCAAGCCTGTGGTTCAGAGGAGGGCAGCAGGGACCCGCAGCCCCCACTCCATCGCCTGACAGGCATGGGGTACCAGCACTGCGCTCTCCTTCCAGCCCTAACACTTAAGGTAAAGCTACAGCAGTTTTTGCACCTCACTGTGAAGATGTCAAGGAGAAACACTGTTAAAAAAACATAAGCCAAGCCTGCTGCTGGTTCCTCTCTGAATCTGTCAGACACTGACCAAAGTCTCCATGCATCTCCAGGAAATAAGAATTTTTTGGTGGATGGTGTGGGCTTAACACCCAAGGGTTTAAAGTGGTCCCCTGCTTGGAAGCTGAAGCTGTGCTAATTCAGATGTAAGAAGATGCAGAGACATTAGCCCCTGGGACAGCTCCAGAGCCACGGTGGGTACTCCCACACTGCAAACGTCTACATTGGAATTTTTCTTGTAAGAAGCTGTGTTGAGCTCCAACAGGCACTTGTTCGGGGAATCCTAAAGCTTGCACAGAGATCAGACTATTAAATCCATCCTTCTGGCCTGTCCTCTGGATCCCCAGCACAGCACTGCGAGACTGGCCAAGGCGAGAGCCAGGATTCAACAGCCACCAGCAGAATTATCCCAGCAGAAAATGTGGACCTGTTAATGATGTCAACTGTGAGCACCTTTTTTATTTCCTGATCTGGAGAACCACAACCATCACACAGCATCGCTTCCTTACAACTTTCCATTTAGATGCTTTAGATTCAAACCTCTGATATTTCTCATTTCATTAAGGGTCTTTACACCACTCCCTGTCGCCTGATTCAGGACAGAAAGGGTTTTTCCCAGTGCCAGTTTTCCATGGAAGGAAATGCTCAGTTTTTGAGCAGCTGTCTCCATGCCTCCTGGAGAGGGGGAGTGGAGGACTGGCTGTCTCATCGGAGCCGGCGGGCAGCAGCGCTCGCTTGGTCTGAAGGGCAGGGAAGGGATGAAAGGGCTCTGCCTCTGCGAAGAGCACTTGTGTCTTGGGGACAGGCACCAGGCCACCACAAAGACGACTCGTGGATGCTCATGAGAAAAGGCAGGCAAGGCACTCTCCATGCAGGGTTAGAGGGAAGCTCAATCTGCAATGACAAGACCCAGCCATGTCTCCCGAGGTGCTCAGGTCCAGGGGTCTGAGCAGAGGCTGACTCAAGCCCACCTCTGCATTCCTCCTCTCTCTGCTTCTCCCTAGCAGTGCCAGGGAAGCCACCCCCATGCCCCCAAAATTATGCTGGAAGCTAGCAGGAGGGAGCAGGGGAGCAGTGTCGTGGAGGGAGGCACCTTTCCAGCTCCACAGCAGCGGAGCCAACTCCTTTCATGTTCTTACCTCCAAAAACAGGCTGCCCAAGCTAAGGGACGAGATTACAGCCCCTGCAAGCAGCTAAAACAGGAAAAAACGCAAGTGCCCAAGCCCTCAGCATCACCAGGCCGCAGTGGGGCGAAAGCAGATCTGTATCAAATGACTCAATTTTTCGGCAACGCCGTTCCCCAGCGGATTACTCGGCGACGGCTGATAACGAGAAGGGAGCAACGTGCCTTTTTCTGCGAGGAGAGGAGACAGACCGGCAAAGCAGCAATTGTTCAGCCCTTCCTCCCGGCGCTGGCGTGACGGGGCCATCCTCTCCCGGCCGTGCATGGGGACCGCAGGGGCACAGGGCTGGGGGGAGGACAGGGCTGTCCCCGGGGAGCGATGCTGGGGCGAGATCCAGGATGCCACGAGCTGTGGGTGGCTCCGCAGCGCCGACGGCTCGGGAACCCGCTCGCAGCACCGCACCACAGCCTTTCCAGTGCTGGGCTCGGGCCAACCGAGGGAAAGGTATTCTGGCAGGGCTGCTGGCAGCATCTGTTTAGCCTGGATTTTGCTTGGCTTTTGTCCTTCTAATGGAGGGTTTTGGCCCTGTCCTTCTGCAGGGGCCAGGACAGAGAAGAGCGTGGTTGAAAGGCACCTCCACCCAGCTGGAAGTGGAAGGAGTGGCGGGTGTGAAAGCATCATTTTCTTTGGAGGACATGGGACTGGGGAAGCACAGCCACCAGCTAAACAGCTAAACCCAGCCTGTGCCACGCGCCCGCTCTGTCCTCCCTGACACCACCCCTTGGCATCCACCTCAAATTTTGGCAAAAACATGGGGGGAAAATCCCAGGGGCTTGATGAGCATGCTGCCAGGATGCAGGGAGGAGGTGCTGGGGGTGCAGCCCCCCCCACCGAGACAACCATGAAGGAACCGAACCCCAACTGGATGCAATGGAAACATCTCCCTGCCCCAAGCTCCTGGAGCAGTCAGAATCTCCCTTGGGACAGGCAGTTCAGGCAGGGCAGTGTGCCACCAGCCTCAGCTCCGGGGTGCCCTCCTCCCTGCCCCCCCGGCAGCGAAAGCCAGGGCAGGAAGGCAGCCCGGAGATGCTGGCCACTGCTGGGATGCAATGGGGCAGGAAGCTGCTGGCCAGGAGGAGGGGAGGAGAAAGGAAGAGGAGGCATTTCGGGCTTTTGTTAACCGTCCTGGCCCCTCTGGACGGGAGGGAAAAGAGGTGACCCTGGGCCCCCGACCCCGTAGCAAGGTGCGGGGAGCCATGCGGGGCTGCTGCTGTGAGCACCCGCCTGCAGCCCTGATGGGCTTTGCTTTGAGGAGCTGTTTATAAACAGAGCCGGCGTGTGCTAGGAAACATCTGGAGAAGAGCATTTCCAAGCATTCAAACGCTGGGCCCAGGCAGCCCAGATAAAAAAACCCGCTTCCACCAGGACTTCCCTTGCTGGCCCAGCACAGGGCGCTCCGGCCACACCTCCCCTGCCTCGCAGGCTGGCAGTCACGAGCCCCAGCTCGCAGAGCTGCCATCGCACCCTCTAAAATGCCTTGCTGGGGATAGCTGCCAGAGGGAGAAGGGACCGCTCCACCTCCCAGCTGTACTTTGCAGGTCCTTCCCTCGCTTTCACGTACACCAAGGGGCAAACGCTGGGTGGGATGAAGACTTTGTCCAAACCCATGAACTTCCACTCGTTTACTTCAGCTCTGGCTTATGGGACAACCTCATGGGATGAGCTGGAAACCACTGGTAAAGCAGCAGGGTGCCCTTGCTGGCAGAAAAGGCAGGGTGGAGGAGGTACTGCCAGCTGGGAGACCAACAGCAAGCCCAAAGCACTAGCCCACAGGGAGCAGACTGGACTTGTGTGCCTGTATCCACCTGAGATGTTCAAGAGGCTGCAACCCTGCCACACCAGCTGCGCAGCCACTGCTGGCCTTGCAGATGAGGATGTGGATCCTCGCCATGCGGTCGCATCTCCAGAAATGCGGACAGCCTGCAGGATCCCCCACACACAGCTGGGGAACCGAGGAGCCAGGTCAAAAAGACACAAAGTGAAACCAGATGCCGGGCCAGCCCCAGGGTGGCTGTGGTCAGAGGATGCTCCTGGAAGGCTGCAGGCTCTCCCAACACCGCTGTGCACCATGCGTGTGCACTGCATGAACCTGAGCAGTGCAGTACCTAGGGAGGAAGGCTGCACAGCCTCTCCCTCACCAAAGGGGGAAGCAAAGCCAACAACCACAGGATAAACCCACAAAAATAAGGGGTCTGCAAGATTCTGGATGCAATAAACATCCCTGGACCAGTAAACTCCTCGCTGGAGCTCACTGCTTTGCTCCCACCCCTTGCCAGCGGTGGCAGAGTTTGGGCCAGCTGCCTTGGAGGGCAGGACGGGCAGCAGCAGCGGGCCAGCAGCTTCAGGACACACTTGTCACCAAGCCTCTCTCATGGGGGTCAGGGGCTGGGGGACCCCGAGTCCCATCCAGCCAGGCACAGGGCTCCTGGTGCAGAAGGGCGGCACGGGCTGCTGGCCGTCCCTCTCTGCACCACTCTGACAGCAGCCCTGCCAGCCCAAACACCAACTAAAACAAGTGCACGCTCCTGCTACCTCTAAATACACTTTTTGGTTCCTGAGCCAGAAAACAGACGGCTGGCAGTGTTATCCCCAGCTGCAGCTGCTGGC